GTCAGACTGCAGTGACATGAGCCGCCACCCCACGGTCTCTCCCCTCATGGTACAAAATGGCTTCCACGACATTGCTTCACCTATCTTGTCAACTGACAATGAGATTTAGTTATATTAGATTGTATCATCAAGCTTTTAATTAAGCTGGTTTTTTTTAGTAATAGAAAGACAGTTTCCTGTCCTACCTACAGCACAGACACGGACCAGCTGATGCCTTGTCTCATCCCGCTCCGCCACTCACTGTGGCTGCTCAGTCCTCTGATACTTATCAGTATCAGAGGAGTCCTCCGTCCATCTCCAGCACTTAGCCCCCAGAGCCTAGCCTTGGCCTCCTGTCATCTCCTCCTGCTCTCCCTGCCACTGTGGTTCCTTAGCTCCACGGACAGCATAGTTGGCCGGTACCTCCCGGTTCTAGCGCTCTCTCTTCCACTTTTCTCACACCGATTCCTCGCTGCTCCTGCCTGAGCTCAGGAACTACATCTCCTCTTATCTCTGTTGACTAGGGATTGTGTCCCCATGCTTTAGACATTCTAACCAAAACAAACATTGACCGAGTGTAGGAGAAAGATGCAAGTCTCCGAAAAAAAAAAAAAAATTGATCGTCTTCATAATAACCAGCCGCTTAGTCTAGCTAACATAGATAACTTTATAAACAGTATTTTATTAGTCTGTGTACAATTATATATAGGTCTAACTTGTTGCAGTCCCATTCGAGCATAATGGTGATCTCTATAGTCTATACTAGTTTGCAAACCCACTCCTATGTAATAATAAATAGCATTTTTTAAGGCAAGACAAACATAAAGATTGAGACCTTCGGTTCATGGGTGATAATAAATAACATATATAATGATATATACCATTTATGTCAGTAAATCCCTGTAATTATTAGACACAGTAGCTTTAAAATCTCCAATTTAGAAGTTTAGAAGGAACTCAGCATAAATTATTGAACATAAATAGAAGATGCAGCTGGTATGTTGGGATTAAGCTTCTGTGTTAATACAAGGTGTATGTTTGAAAAATACAGTAAAATAGGTAAGATAGAGGAAATTTAAAAAGGAAAGCAATCTGAAACATATCAGGAAAGTGTGTGTTTGAGACATGATAGTGGAGAGTGCTGTGAAAAAGACAAGATGATTGTTAAAAAAGAAACCAAAAGACTGAGCTCAAGATAGGGGAGCAAACAGTCTGAGCCTGTTTCATCACTTAATCCCTGAATTTCTTTAATTTTCCTTCACTGCTGTCTCAGACGTCAGCCTCAAAAATGCTAATTTCACAGCGGAGCATCACATACAAAAATAAGTACTTTAGGAAATAATAGGACAATTTAAAGCTGCTTAATAAGAACCATTTCTTAAATTATTAGGTCGCAATATGTCAGTCAGTATTTGAGGGATTGTGTGCATGTTTTATTACATAGCCAAAAGTGTCAAAAATCAAAATTACCTGTGAGACTGAAAAACACAAAGTTGTCATGGGAGATACAGTAAGGTAATAATGGAGAATTGAAACAGCCATTAAATGAAGCTGATCAGTCGGTGCTCAGTCAGTTTTAAGTCTTAAGCACCAACTGGGGTCACTACTGTCCACCATGTCGGCTCACAATCTCCAAGACTTTAGCAGTAAAAGGTAGGTCTTTCATAATGGTAATTTTAAGGACACATTCGCACTGCTGTTTGGCTTCAAAGATTGATCCAGGGAGCTGTTAAAGTGAGAAAAGTCACACCTTCTGTTACATAGCTTTCTTCCACAAGGAGATTTTTAGAACAGACAAAAGGTCATGCAGAGGCAGCATAGTTTCCAGGGCAGTATTGACCCATACTGTGCTGATAATATAAATAATAATACTATAAAAATGACACAAACAAGAAAGTCTGTCATATGAGGTTCCTGTTGCTACTTTAATGTTAAAATGTAGCTGTGTGGCTGCACCTCTGCACTCCAAGAGTCTTTGTGAAGTATTTTCAAACTCCTTTCAGGATTTTATCTCTATATTATTTTTTTTCTGTTCTTCTCAAATGTACTGCTCTTATGTCAGACCCCCTCCTCCTTTTGCTGCACTAGGAGGGAAATGTAATAAAGGTAAAGACATGTTAGCCTACATTGTTTAACTAATAATGTTTAAGTAGCACAACCAAAGGTAAATATAACCAAGTAGATTTTTTTTTTATCTTGATTTAAAGCAAGTTTTCAACACTTTGACAGGGAGTTTAATTCAGTAAAAAAAAACAAAAAAAAAACATAAAAACTAAAAGCTGCTTCTCCATGTTTGGTTGTGATCTTTAGTATATAGAGTCGATTGTAGTTAAAGGGCTGAGAGGTCTAGTTGATAAGCTCACAAGTTTCAAAGTATTTTGGTGCCAAGCAATTCGTGAATAAAAAAAGAACTAAGATGCACTTTTTGACATTAATTTACTAGACTTTTGTGGATCAATAAAATTTTTTTTAAGTCTGTTCTGATGGAGAAAATTGTAATTAGGAGGTATGGCTTCCAATGAAATCCAGCGATTACCAAGAATGCAACAACAACAAATATTGAGCACTGAACTAAGTAAGCAAATGAAAGCATACAAACACACACGAATAGGGCTGGCATAGATGCAAGTACTAAAATGCAAGAGTTAGTAAAGGATTCAAACAATACTTTTAATTCTTATCAGAGTCCAAAAAAGAAAAGGCAAACCATAAATATACTAATGCATTCACCACTCTGCCAATTCATACCCCTTTCATACCCACCCACTTTGCTTTCGTTCCTGTAAATAAACAGTTACATACCAAAGGACTTAAAGCACAGCAATTAAGTTAACCTTTTAATATAATAATCCAGATACATGGTCATATCATTGCTCAGATCAGACCCTTTTCAAATTTAAATATATTCTTTGATATTATTTACAAGAATTTAATAATAATATGTATATATGATACATTTACATTCTTAGCCACCCTAGAGACCAGAGTTACTCTAAGTGAAATTGTACTGGTATGGATTAGGGTCAAATAAACATACTTCCTCACCCATTTATCAAAAGTTCTGGGTTGTTGTTAAAGGGATAGTGTGCTACTCATGGGGCTTTTTAAAATCAAAACTAAAGCACTGTTTTCATACTGTAAGCATGGGCTTCAAAGAACATGGAGCAGAGCAGACTCATGGCGGCCACACTAGGTCTATCTTGAATCTTTCCAGCAACTACTCTGTCCTCCCAGCAGGGGGCATTTGTTTGTTGGGTTACATTGATTGAGCTCCATTGTAACACTTTTCAGTTGCTGTTGTTAGTCAGTTACAGTTGTTATTGTTCACAGAAGTTATTCCAGCAAGCAACTGTGCACTCCTTCCAACTGTACACCCCTTGTAACTCTACACTTCTTCCAACTCTACTCGCTGTATTTTTTGAAAGGCTTTCCATGTGTTTCCTGATTTAATATAGCTGATTTGTCTAGATAAATGGGAGTTGCAATCTTCCCTCTACTTAAAAAGAATAAACCAAAGTAATACCAGATTTTAATCACTAGAGCTGCAAGTACTGTACTGTAAAAAATATATATTATAAAAAGACAGAACTGCATATCTTTCTGAACCTTATGAACTGTCGTAAATGTGACATTGTCACATTTTCAGTAATGCTGGATAAAACTCACCGATGGCTCATAATTAGTGATGTTATGAGATGAGCCGAGGCTTTGAGGTATGTGTTGAGTAGTGGAGGGGGTGTTTCCGCGAAGCACGTGTCGAGGCTTTCTTCATTTAAGTAAGGAGAGAAAATTAATGACATCTGAAGCCTTGTTACGCCGCCATACCACATGACCACTTGGGGAGGTGGTTCAGCTCACCCCGAACTTTGACAGGCATCAACCTCTGTATTCAGTCAAGATGTTGGAGTTTGTAGGAAAGATGCGGTCAGTTGGATAGAGCTGTTTATATTCTAAGAATAGATTAGTTGGAAAAACAAGCAATCTAGTTTGTTGAAACTATTTTGGTCAGATTAAACAATGTAAAGATCAAAATGTGAGCAGGCCACTGGTCACAGTTGTAACATCAGTATTAAGTAGTACTGCTTTCTGATTTGTAGTTGTCATTTCCAGTGATGTCAGCTGTATGACATTGACTTCCAATCCTAAAGTTGTTGGTTTGAGACTCACCTCGGACTTTTGAAAGTTGTGATAATATTTAACAAGTATTTTGGCTAATGTAACAAATTCATATTGGTTTGCCCTTGTACAAATATAGATTAGGTAAAAACACACCAAAATAGATCAGTTGGTTTAGTCAAAAGATTGGTCAGACACATAATTTCCAACCTGATTGAAATCAAAAATAGTGGAAAAACTATTATTTTTGAATAAGAATGAAAAACACCTTTGATTTTGCTCATCATTGCCCAATTTGCACAAACACTTTCACTGTCTGTTAAAACTTTAAAGGATATATTTTGAAATGTTCTGCTCCTAGCTGAGAGAGATATTTGAGAACTAATGTGCTGTTATTTTGTGTAAGAGCATGAATTGCTTTCAAGACTGTTTGCTTTTTGTTCGTTTATATTAGGTGTTAGTGCATGTTAGAAATTTTTAATGAAACCTGAGCTACTAGTGCTACTGTATTGCTGGTGAAGTAACTAAAGTTTTAAAGCAGCCAACAGCAAAATAAAGACAAAAAGGTCAGAATGTGGCTGGGAGATTGGAGTCAGAGCTTTAATTCAAAGCCTAACCGTTCAATATTTATACTCCTCTAATGTTTTATTCTCTTAAAAGTCTGTAGAAATGTTTCTCAGTGAATAGAACAGATATTTGAATTGAAGGTGCCTTTAGGGGTGTGTTGGTGTTGGAAGTGTTGTGTGAGACAGTTGACTGGGAGAAGGTGGTGGGTGGGTAAGTGTTTTTCCGCAACAGCTTGTTCTATGATCTGTGATTTTAGAAGAACTGTTCCTTTAATTATTACTAATTTTGTCCCACATTCTTACCTGCCAATCTTTACCTTGCTTTTGGCCTCTTCATAGGTATCAACAGGGGAAGCTGCTATTGGATCAATCACTTTCCAGAGGATAACGACTACGATACAGACAGCTCAGAGTACATCTTACGTAAGTCAGTGCAACGGCTTCATCTTCAAACACTACAGCTTTTAATCCACTGTCTTCCTCCCCCTTCTGTGATGATGGAGTTATCACGAGAGCACTTAATGTGTCATGACATCTTAACCTCCCCAATAAAAGCTTGATGTCATGACAGTGACTGCAGCTCTGATAAGAAAAATGAGGTGTTATGTGTTGAGCTACAGGGCTTGTCTGAAACATTAGGCTTCCATTTATGAGTGCCAAAATTTCACAAACAAGATAGACTGAGTTCTACACAGCCGTGTAAAAAGAATCAGTATCCCATTAAATATTTAAACCTTTATTAGGAAAAGAACAGAGATTAATTATGACTTAAATAAATAAATAAAAAAATATAATCAAGTATTAACAGAGAAAGTTTTTTAGTTTTTAGTTTTTTAGGACACTTTAAACACACTAGCTAGCCGTCACATCTATTTATTTATTTTGTTGGTCACTTTTCTGGTCACTTTAGTTTATTCTTTGTCAGTATTTAATAACATAACTCAGGTCTTTTAAGTTATTTTTCTTTAAAAAAAATTCTGGTTAAAAAAGTTGGTTAAAGATTTAATTGGAAGTCTGTGTTTGTGTTCTTTATTAAAATTAAATCATTTAGCAATATCATAAAATGTCCAGGCAGAGCTGCACATAAAATATGGTTTCAAATCTTTTCAATAATTATTGATATCGATCAATATGCATTTTTTTTTTATCGACACGTTTTTTTTACTATATCGCCCAGCCCTGCTACAGCCTACTAAAGCAAAGCATTCTCCCCCTCGAAGCTAAACAGTTAGTGTTAGCTTGATTTCAGAGTATGCTGCATATGATAAACTGGTATCCAGCTGGTTCAATCTTAGGCCATATTTGTAGGGATCTGTGTAAGCAAAGTCCCAAATAGATTTAGCAAGTGAGAAAATTTTCTCTCAGATTTTGAGTAGTCTTAATAGACTGTATTTCCCAGGCAAGTAAACTGTTCACTCTTAAAATGGCCTATTTCTACAAGTAGAGGTCAAGTGCCCCACTGTTAATTGGAAATGCCGGACTCTTGTGCATGTTCATTTTGTGCCCAGACACCGAGCCAAACTTGCCAGTAAGGCAAGCACTGTGGGTAGAGATTTAATTGGAATTGACAAATATAATAATATATCTGTCACATCTTGGTTGTGGTTTAGAGGACCCAAATACAGAGGCAGAGAGGCTGTGGTGAATTCTTGTTTTTTTAATGGTAACACAAACAATAGGGGGCAAAATCCAACTTAAAATGTTACACAGACCAGAACCATGGAGACATCAGGGGAAAACAAGCACAAGGAGCCAGGGAGAGACGAGGTGAGAAGACAACAGCGACGACAGGACCAGCAACAACAAGGAGTGACTGCAGAGGGAGAGTATATGTAGCTGACTGAGACAATGGCAGGGCTAACGAGCTGACAAGGAGCAGGTGTGAGGAGACAATGAGGAAGCCAAGTGGAAAGGAACACACACCAGAGGGTAACAGAGGAAAACAACAGAAAAAACCTGAGAACTAACATAAATCTAGAAACTACCACAAAATAAGAATTAAACCAATAAAATTAGGAAACATGGAGCAAAGTGAAGCACAACATAACCAAAACCATGACAATATCATCTGCATGAAGTGAGATTTTGTGGTCAGTGTCTGCCCTCGCAAATGGCTCAATTACGAGGTCAAAAAGGATTCGACTGAGTGGACAGCCCTAATTTGTTACGCGATTTAGGGTAAAAAGTTGCAACATTATATAGTTTGTCTGACATTTTACAACAGGGGATGTATACAATAATTTGATACAAGCTAATTCAAAATAGAGCCTGACCAATATGGAATTCTACAGGCTGATAAATAATAAAATAAATAAATTGAACGTTATTGATCTAACCATAGAGAAATTGACTCTCTGCATTTAACCCATCTCCTTTGGGTGTGCAGTGGGCTGCTACTGTGCACCTGGGGAGCAATCGGAGGTTAATGGTCTTGCTCAGAGACCCAGATTTGCAGCCTGTGAGAGTGGGTTTCAAACTCACAACCTCAGGATTCCAAGTCCTGTGTCCTCACCACTAGGCCACCACTCCCCAACTCTCTGCATTTAACCCATCCAAGGGGATGGGTTAAATGCAGAGATGTGTGGTGCCCGGGGAGCAGTGTGGGGTTAAGAGTCTTTGCTCAGGGAACCGGAGAGGCAGTCCATGGGTGAACCTCTGGATTCAAAGCGCAATGCACTAACCACTAGCCCACCACTCCCATAAGGATATCAATGTTGGAGGCTTTAAAAAAACAATATGCAATATATTGGCTAACATCAGCCAATATATAGCCAGAATTAAAAAAAAACTGAGTATGGACATATACAGGATATGCACTATACTGCTATAGTAAATATGATTTAAGACAAAGAAACAGAAAACAGAATGTTGTGTATTAATCTGCACTAATCATAAGATAAAATAAAGTTAATGTTTTATAAGTTTAAAGTTGTTTTCCCAAATACTGTTATAAGAGCCATTCGAGGCCAGAGAGGAGAGAAGCAGAGGAGCGAGTGTGTGTATTTGTTGCAGCTGGCGCCAATGGGAGTGAGGTCTACAGGACAACGCAGGGTTGAGGCCCTTAGTGATAAGAAAGCACCCGCAATAAAAATGAAATATTTGACATCTCAAGGTAGCCCAGCTCAGCAAAAATCTGGCCATACAAAAGAGTTGTTATTTTCAAAGCACACAGAGCAGTAATGGTCCCAGAAAGGGTGATGAGACGAGGGGGGAGCAGTATGGTAGACTGACATGGCTTGAAGCAAGGGCTGACATGTTTTTGACTAAACCGTCATAAGTTTCTGATTTGAATGCACCAGATGTTTTCATGGCCTGAGAGATTGCTCTCACAAGAATGAGATGTGTCTATGAATGTCACCGTGTTTTGCAGATAAATATCAATGTGACCTTTACCAATGACTGAAATATGTTCTGAAGGGGGTTTTTCCACTGATAAGAAATGTATAAAAGGGAGCTGGCATCACCATTTGTTCAGCTTCGGCTCACCGCTGACCAGCTCATTGTAAATGTGTTGTGTTCAGCAATAAACACACTGGACCCGGACCCAGCTGCCCCTGCCTGAATTTTTTGATCTTGGTTTGAGTCTTTTTCTGCTTTTTAAGAACTTTGAATTTTTATAAAACTTAGCTTCAATTTTAAGTCGTCAAGAAGAGAATTATAGACGACAAGAACTAAATAATTAAAAGAATCAACTTTAGTTTGAGCAGTGTCAACATAAGACTATAAATACAATACATTTTTGTGGTGCTGACTTAGATACACTATATTGCCAAAAGTATTTGCTCACCCATCCAAATTATTGGAATCAGGTGTTCCAATCACTTCCATGGCCACAGGTGTATAAATTCAAGCACCTAGGCATGCAGACTGTTTTTACAAACATTTGTGAAAGAATGGGTCGCTCTCAGGAGCTCAGTGAATTCCAGCGTGGAACTGTGATAGGATGCCACCTGTGCAACAAATCCAGTCGTGAAATTTCCTCGCTCCTAAATATTCCACAGTCAACTGTCAGCTGTATTATAAGAAAATGGAAGTGTTTGGGAACGACAGCAACTCAGCCACGAAGTGGTAGGCCACGTAAACTGACGGAGCGGGGTCAGCGGATGCTGACGCGCATAGTGCGAAGAGGTCGCCAACTTTCTGCAGAGTCAATCACTACAGACCTCCAAACTTCATGTGGCCTTCAGATTAGCTCAAGAACAGTGCGCAGAGAGCTTCATGGAATGGGTTTCCATGGTCGAGCAGCTGCATCCAAGCCATACATCACCAAGTGCAATGCAAAGCGTCGGATGCGGTGGTGTAAAGCACGCCGCCACTGGACTCTAGAGCAGTGGAGACGCGTTCTCTGGAGTGACGAATCGCGCTTCTCCATCTGGCAATCTGATGGACGGGTCTGGGTTTGGCGGTTGCCAGGAGAACGGTACTTGTCTGACTGCATTGTGCCAAGTGTAAAGTTTGGTGGAGGGGGGATTATGGTGTGGGGTTGTTTTTCAGGAGCTGGGCTTGGCCCCTTAGTTCCAGTGAAAGGAACTCTGAATGCTTCAGCATACCAAGACATTTTGGACAATTCCATGCTCCCAACTTTGTGGGAACAGTTTGGAGCTGGCCCCTTCCTCTTCCAACATGACTGTGCACCAGTGCACAAAGCAAGGTCCATAAAGACATGGATGACAGAGTCTGGTGTGGATGAACTTGACTGGCCTGCACAGAGTCCTGACCTCAACCCGATAGAACACCTTTGGGATGAATTAGAGCGGAGACTGAGAGCCAGGCCTTCTCGTCCAACATCAGTGTGCGACCTCACAAATGCGCTTCTGGAAGAATGGTCAAAAATTCCCATAAACACACTCCTAAACCTTGTGGACAGCCTTCCCAGAAGAGTTGAAGCTGTTCTAGCTGCAAAGGGTGGACCGACGTCATATTGAACCCTATGGATTAGGAACGGGATGTCACTTAAGCTCATATGTGAGTCAAGGCAGGTGAGCAAATACTTTTGGCAATATAGTGTATTACCTCAAATTTTTTGCCTTTCTGGTGCTAGAGCCCTGAATAACTTTAACACTGCAGATGCTGCATCCAACGGCTGTTATATCCTTAATGAAGTGGCTCCACACCTGACTTTTCCCCTCTGCTTGTGAAATGAATATATATACATTTATCATATTTTAATAATTAGAGTTTAATTCTACAAATTAGCATTTATAAATAAAAACAAGTGGCTGCATTCAGCTTGAAGTAATAACACCCGGGCTAAAGGAGGAACTTTGTATCTGATTAATTTTTAAGATTCATTTACAAAAACACCTCAGAAATATAAACTTGTAATATTTGCAAGCAACTAAAAAGTTTCCTCCTTTACTCCCCTCCAACTGACTCCTGTTTGATCTTGTGCTATTATTGAAGGGCCAACACCATCCAGGCTATGTGCTAGTGTTTTGGCAAAGATTTATTTGTCTGTGTTCAGGAGAGAAATAGGCCTAAATGAAGTGCGATGAGCGGGGTCTTTTCCTTTCTTTGTTATGAGAACTATGTTGCCCTCATTCATTGATGGAGGAAATAGCCATGTCCAAGGGATTCAGTCAAGGCCGTGGTTAAAGATTGAACTGGAGAAGTTGAAAACTCCTTGAAAAATTTGCTTCGAAAGCTATCCCAGTCCAGGGATCTACCAGATTGCTTCGAGGATATTGCTTGGGCTATTTCTGTCTGGCTCAGAGGTTATTCCAACTTCACCACCATTTCAGGCAATGGTTTTTAAATGGGTAGTGGGTCAAGAAATGCATTTTCTTGGTGAAATGTCTCCATTGATAAAAGATTTTTAACTCAGGATGCTAAAATTCTGCTTCTACCCGAGTCATGTAATGATAAGGCAGCAAAATCTTTATCAAGCTAAAGGGAATACTATAAACTGGTGGCAGACACACAACATGCACAGGTTTTTACCTGTGATTGCACACACAGGCCGTATTCAGATGCTGGGTGTATAGCTCTCTTTTGCATACTTCTTAGGTTTTCAACTTTAATTTGTTTTATATTAAATGTATTCAGAATCTATTAGTTCTTCTATTACTGCTGTTGCTGCAGCTGCTACAGCTAAATGTTGATAATTACAACATGTGTGCTTACTATGTCTGCAGGTGCTGCTAACTGAAGTATTTAACTAACTAAAGTTGAGCCATTTAAAGATACTATTCTTGGCTTGAAACATTTTACTAGTTTATTAGTACCAATCTTTTTTCTGATTTAATACTTCATAATAATATGAAGTATTAAACCTACCCAAGAGGATATGAGATCAATAAAGTTCTATGATTCTTATTTTTGTTCCACTTCCATCAGAAATGAGGTTCAAGGGCATTACATGCACATCAAATAAACCTAAAAACAGTCTTTTCTAGAGCTTTGAAAGTAAATACTCTTTGTAGTCAAACCCTTGTATCTGACATTCCATCCCCAAGAAGAAGCTTCATACACGAACCCTTATGTCTTGAGCCGCATGCCTACTTAAACTCACACAAATACAACCGCAAACACCCCTGCTTACCACCAAACTGACCATCAGCCTTCTCATAGACTGGACTGGCAGTAGTTGCACTTTATGCACAGACTAGACATTACATTACTATTCACATATTTTTCTTCTAACAAAGTTTCATATCTTTGATAGTGTTCCAATTTCTTGTCGTTTTTTTCTTCAAAGTTCTGGTTCAAACCACAAGAAAATTTTGGCCAATTTTGCTCCACTTTTCCCTTTCCAACACTCCCATAATTGTGATTGAATCATAATTGCTTTAAAGATAATATTTGAGATAATCACAGCATTTTTTTGCATGGTAAGAATGATCTGGTCTGAATCTGAATGGAAGGATGCCCGTACCACCCTGACCTCAAACAGAGGTTATCCAAGATGGTAAACGTGAAGTATAGCCAGTCAGAAAGTGATTGCCAAGAAGAAAAAAAACTCACAATTTTAGGAGGAAGAATTCTTGCTTTTGCTGTCTCCACTTCTTTCATCAAAATATTTTCTCATTCTGTTTTTCCTGTATTAAAGTAAGTCCTTGAAGTATCACAAATGCTTCCTCTTCATCGACCATGTCTATTTACACTAAATTATTGTTTAATTACAGTATGAAGGCTGTGTGAGATTTCCTGTCTGTCATCTAAATATTCTTTAATCAAATCTCTGTGTTTGGTGTGATCTGCTTGCTGTGTGGCTGTTAAGGACCAAATCAGCTTATTTTTAATCATCATGCATGGGGTCACTGATGATCTTCAAATCACTTGATCATCTTTAAAATCTTGCTGTGTGATTGCTTTTCTGTTGAGACTATTTAGTTTTTTTTTTTTTTATTGTTTTCAACAGTCTTTCTGTTAACAAAGGGCCATTTTTGCACTTTCCTTTTAAATTAGTTTTTATGATGTAAAGTTCAGTTTACTAGCAGGTAACAGACACCTCAAACGTGAGGGCGTCTGCCGGCAGCGATCTGATACAGCTCTTGACAATTCCTTTGATAATTCCACAAAATATGCCGTTCAGAACGCTACAAACCAGGCATTGATCCCGCATCTACGACCGTCAATGCCTGCTAGAGCTACAGTAACAAAATGTTTTAAATACATTCACTCTTGATCATTTAAAAAACTGCAGAGCTCTATGGACGGAAGAAAACAAAGCAGCAGAGTTCATTTTAAAAACTCAAATCCACGACTCAGCCGGCTACCCAGCTAGCGCAAGCAATGGTGGCACTATGTCCAACTTTGACTCAGATGAACCCAATTTAATCCACTTCTATCCCCTTCTCCACCATCGTAGATAAGCTCCATCTGGCTTTCCCATGGTGCTTCTTCAACCTGGTCACTATTAGATTGTAATTCCTCCTGGATTCTTACTGACTTGACTTAATGAAAGAGTTTGCATATGACTAAAACTAGTATAACCTAAAATGACAATGTTTGATACACAGACTAGACTGAATAAATAAAAAAAAAAGACAATGACAACAATGTTTTGGATTCTTATGAAAGCAGGTTATTGCATCCATTTTTAATGCATTTAATTTAAGGTTTACAGGTTATAGATTCCATGAAAGGGGAAACATTTCTTGAGAAAATAAATTATATTTTCAGTCTTTCACATCCCCAAAACTTTGCATTGTCCAAGGTGTGTACATTTCTTAAACCATTGTGTGTGCTTACAGTATTCTATAAGTGAATTGAATAACCTAATCTTAGCAACTAACTAATAGTACAATTTTCTTCATTGTGTGTTTTTTTTAACAGGTATAGTGCGTGCATCCAGCCTGTTTCCAATTCTCAGCACCATACTGCTGATGTTGGGTGGATTATGTGTCGGGATCGGACGTTTATACAGCAAAAAGAACAACATCCTGCTCACTGCTGGCATCTTATTTGTGGCTGCAGGTAGGACAACGCTGACTGTCAGAGACACATGAATACACAAATTTAACCTGATACACAATGATAGAATAAGACAACTGTTTTTTTTTGTGATTTGTTGTAGATATCATATAGAGCAAGAGAAAGGCCTGTCTTCTTTCCACCCACATAGGGTTGTTACAGCAGACAACAATAGAATTTATAGACCATGTCACAATCTGAAAACAGTTTCCTTTTTTAGCTTTTACCAACTACCTTCAATTCCCTTTGTGTATACACTCTCTTCAGGGCTGAGCAACATCATTGGCATCATTGTTTACATCTCCAGCAATGCTGGGGATCCCAGTGACAAGAAAGACGAGGACAAGAAGAACCAGTACAACTATGGCTGGTCCTTTTACTTTGGTGCCCTCTCCTTCATCGTGGCTGAGTCAGTGGGCGTTCTGGCAGTCAACATATACATCGAAAAAAACAAGGAGACACGTTTCCGTGGCAAACGAGACTTCATCAAAACCACCTCATCCTCTTCACCATATTCCCGCATACCAAGTTACCGTTACAGGCGGAGGCGTTCTCGTTCCAGTTCAAGATCAACAGACCCGTCCCGCGAACCTTCCCCTGTCAGAGTGAAGATCGGAGGGGGACCTGGAGGGGGAGGGCTGGGAATGGGTCTACCGATGGGGGACATATCCATGTACACTCTCAGCAGAGACCCTTTAAAGGCTGGTAGTGGGCCTGCAGGGCCATATAGTCCTGATAGGGACACTGGGTTTTTACAAGTGCACAACTGTTTCCAGAAAGATGTGAAAAACGGGGCGAACCGGAGGACAACTCCAGTATGAGGTCCGATTTGTGTTGCTGTGGAGCTTTATGGAGCATGTGAAATGCTATTCAGATGTCAAGAAACAACAGTTTGCCATGTGATTGTTCGGGCTGTGGCACTATCGCCAGGTTCTAGATGATTTTCTTTTACATCTCCAAGAATGCTTTGAAGTTTATAGAACAAAATTTTGTCTGTGAAATGATCTAATATCATATTCAAATAGTTGTTATGGATAGATGTAGCATTGTTTCCCAGAAGTGATTTAAGAATCATATAAGTTATGTTAGAAGAAAATTTTCTTCTTTTTTGCTTTTACATTAAGCTTGGCGAATGTTGTGGTTTTGCAGATATTATTTGAAGGTCATTAAATCATGGGCAGAGGGGAGATCTTTTCAGACCTAATTATCATTTTGTTCTATTTCAAAGGATTGAAATATATATATTTTTCTGTTTTCTTGTGAATTACTGTTTTGAAAATTAACCCCTTTCACTGTTAGATGTAATATTTATTGTCTCCAATGCTTCATTTGTTCATATAAAGTAATCACTGTTTATTATCAGAGACATATTATACTAAAGTTGTTAATAACTTATCACATAAGGTGCTGACTTATTCCTTTAGATCTACAATTTAAATGCTTTCATTGTATATCATTGATCTTAATCAAGCTTGAGCATAAGTCACGTGGTCAATGTGTGAGTTGTATGTGAGTGGGAGTATGTGCTGGAATGTTTTGTGTGTCAAACACAGTATAACTTAACAAAACTGAGTTTTTGTAAATAATTGTAAGAGCAAAATACTCCCAGTAATTAGATGTACATTCCAATACACTGTGCAGATTATCAGTGTAAATGTTACTTGCAAAGACTGCCTTGTAAAGTGCTCTCAATATGCTCAGGGATGATGAATGGAACGAATGAGTTCCTTTCTTAAGCCAGACAGACTGTTACAATTGATGCGTTTATAAAGAAAAACTTAAGGTCATGCCTTTAGTGTTTACAGATGGAAAGATATTTTTACTTTTTTAACAGGGTTGTGAAGAGCAAATTCAAGTAATCAGTGTTTTGTAGTAGAGTTTGGAGACTAAAGATGGGATTATCATGGTGGAGTTAAGGTAATTGCTATTAAGAGTAGCATCCTTTAGTTCAAGAACCGAAAGAGAACAAAGTACAAGAGAACATCTCACAAAAAAAAATTTTAAGCTGTAAAGAAAGTTTCAAAAAAAAAAAACATTCTTTGTGGGGCTTCGTACACTATAGCTGCTTTAATTATTAGATTTGCTACACATTGCTATTTTTCCACCCAGTACATACTGCTAAAAAATATAAAAGCTGGGGAGAAAAAAAAGCTATTTTCCAGGCAAGTAAAAGGATTTTTTTTATGGATTTGATCGTTCTAAAGGTGCAGAGGGAGATGTCCAGAGTTAAGTTAGACTGATCGGTATCATTATCAGCTGATGTTAGCGTATTAAGCAACCAATCCTTGAGGTCACATAAAGGACATGCATTGCTGATCCCTCCATTTGTCATGCGTTCTTTTACTTTGTTAATAGATGTTCCTTTTATTCGTCATTGTATCATTTTTATCGTGGAAATGGAGGTGGGGGGCATAAATATCTGCAGCTTGTATTGGGGGTCGGTTAGACTAATGTCAAAATAATCAACATCTGCCTTAGGGTGTGCATAGCTTTATCTGCAAGGACTCTAATGAAAATCTGGTCGCTCTTCAGTGATTTATTTGGAAAATATAGATGTTGTGCGCCCTTCATTTTCCTGTTGGTTTATTACGATCAGTATATATTGAGCATAAAATGCTTTGCCGCTTATCAGTTTACAGCCACCCCCCTCAGTGCACATTGGCCCCTGCCCAACCAAACACATAAAAAAAAAAAATCTGATACCGATACCATAATAATGTAAAATAATTGCCATAATGGCTTTGTCAAGCTGCTGCCTACCTTTGTGAAGCAGGAAAAAATCTAATACAAAGTGAAACCAGTAGAACTTTTTATTACCTACCAGGAATGGGTGACAATAGTTGAATAAACTTATGGCTCTCAAAATGGTATCGGTGCCCAATTTGTTGGTACTCGCCGATACCAATACCACCATTTTAGGGCAGTATCGGGACCCCGTCCGATACTGGTATCGGTATCGGTGTAACACTAATCACCACCCTTCTCCCCACCCCTCTCAGTTGATATACAGAAAATGAACTACCGACACTAAGGGCTTTCATTTTACCACTCAATGCTCTCTGTGCGACATCTTCTCAGAATGAGTCAAGCTCGGTGTCAGCTGAACCTCAAATCCTACTAGCATTCATTCTTGGGAACCAGGATTTTCTCAGCCCCCGCTCCATACTCACTGTATCCACCATCACTCATAGTGTATACTCCAGTTTCTCCCCAGCCTCAGGCCAACTCCTAAGGTAAATAAGCCTATCAATGTAATCACTAAAGAGGTGATAGCTAGCGAGGGTGACAGCATACCGACGTATCCCACTGTTCCAGTTGTGATCGACGGCCGACTGTCTTCCAAGGTCATTAAAGCTATGAAAATTGCCTTACTGTATTTGATCTACCACATATGTGATAACCACATATGGCTGTGAAAACGATAATCCGACCCAAAATCAACATATCTGTCTGCAACCACTCTGCAAGGACTTTTACTTTTAATCCATCTGCTGTAGACTTCAAAGTATCAGATTGATATGTGTAGAACTGAGTTGAGTTCTACGTTATCAATCTTGAATGACTGCCTTTCACTCTGTCTGTGAAAGGAGGACCATTTAGTACAATACTTTGAGCTGATTGGGGGGTGTGCCAGCTAGTTACTCTCTTCCATTATACGCTTTCAGCCAATCGTAGCATCGAATCGTGACGTTTCACGATGATCACAATAGGATTCGTCTGCAGCTTCTTGAGTGTTTTCACAACTAGTGGAGTAAACTGATAAATCTAACTTTTTTTAAATGCTGTCGGAAGAAAAGCACAGACATCTTTCCCATCTACAAATACACAAAGTTCTTATCTTTGCTCCTTTTTTAAACAAGAAATTGTTGCCATTTTAGCTAAAACTGAGCCAACTCTGGTATCCACCGGTTAGTCCTCCACTGTAGCCAAGTATGTAATGCCCTGGCAAGGCCCTTCTCTGACTGTCATCATTCCTACATGTCCCTCCCCCCAGAAAACTGCTGGCAAATTATTGGTCAGACCCGCTGGTTGTTACGAGACGGACGTATTACAGGGAGTCTTTCAAGATGAATTTGTTGTGAGACTGAAAACTCAGAACTCGCGACAATCAAGCTTGCAATGCAAAGTTAAATCTCCCCGCCTCACCCCTGCAATTCAGACATTGTTGTCTCAAAGAGGCCTGCAGGTGGAAGACTTCAGCATCAAAACAATGGCTAACACGCTTCTGTTTAAATTAAAGGCTTCAAGTGGGTTTCATGTTGCAATTCTTGATCTGTATCGTAAGACACTTATGGATGGGTCTCAAGAATGTCATATTGAAAGCTATGAAAAGTAATACAAAGAAGAGTTGGAATGTGTTTTAGAGTGCTTCAACTGCCAAGATGAAGACATGTTGGTAGCATTCATTCTTTCTATAGTGTATTGTAATAAAGTTCTTCCTGAATGCAGGTGTTTCTCTCTCTTTTTGCTGTGTATGGTACACATTTTTTCTCACTAATTTTGAGGCTCTCATTCAGATTTTGGGTTTAAGCAGAGGAGATGTATAATGAACCAGCTTTATAAGAAATTTGCTAGTTTTGGGGGAGTTGAGAGATTCTGCAGAGCCCTGCGTAACAAGATGGGGTAGGAGATAATGAAAGGTTTCCTTTCTGAGCAAGATGGTTACACATTGAAAGCTTATCAGACATAACAGTTTTCAGCATCAGCTTGGGCCTTTTACCGGAGATTATGGAATATCTGTGATGATACGTGGCAGAAATAAGAAAAACAAAATGGGAACAAACAGGAACAGACACTTAAGAGTCATAAACTCTCAGACTTAGAACCACTAAGTCATATAAACTGGCTTTATTAAACTTTAGATCTCTTTCAGGAAAATGCTTTTTAATTAATGCACATATTCTGTTGGAGTCGTCTCCTCCAAACTACAATTTTCTTTGTGAGAGCAGACAGCAAAGGAAAGGTGGAGGAGTTGCAACATTGTTTAATGATTCACTGAAGTGTAAAAAAGTGTTTTGGGGAAAATTTGACACTTTTGAACATTTGGCTCCCCAAGTAAAGAGATACGAACTATGTTTCTAAATGTTTACAGACCTCCTAAGTCCACATCAAACTTTTTTAATGATTTTAGTGACCTCCTGTCTGTGGTATGCGTTGATTATGACTGTTTAATTATTGTGGGAGACTTTAACTTTCACGTTGACAACCCTGAAGACAGAAGTGCAAAAGAACTGTGTGACACACTTAGAAACTTTGGTTTAATTTAACATGTTAAACAACCAACGCACAAACAGGGACATATTTTAGACTTGATCATCACTAAAGGTCTGAGGATTTCTAAAGTCAATGTTACTGATGTTGCCCTATCCGATCCCTTTTCTGTTACCTTTGAGGGCATCGTTTCCAGTGACTCATTTAGCCAAAGGGACATCATAAGAAAACGCACCTTTAAGGAAAATGCCACAGAAACTTTTACTCAAGCTTACTCTGCTACTTCAACCTTGGGGTGCAACTCAGTAGATGAGCTAGTAGATAACTTTCAGTCTAAAGTCTCAGACATCATTAGCTGCATTGCTCCAATTAAAGTGAAAGTCTTTTCCGGAAAGAAAAAAACTCCTTGGAGAACTGTTCCAGCAGTTAGAAGTGAAAAAAGGGAGTGTCGAAAAGCTGAACGCAGGTGGAGAAAGACGAGACTTTACAGATATAGCTTACAACTGAAAAATGCAAGAGAATGTTTGTTCTCTGAAATCATTAACAAGAACATTAATAATACTCATGCGTTATTTGCCACAGTTGACAAGTTAACAAATCCTCCTGTGCCCGTGGCTCCTGAACTCCACTCCACCAGGGCCTGCAATGACTGAGAAAATCCTAAAGACCAGAGGATAGTTTGTACATCCATATAAAGTTCAGTACCAAAGTTGTCTCCAACTGGAATTGATCTTGACCAAATGTCCCAATTCAGCCAAATAAACTACAAAAGCTTAGAGGAAATCATTCAGCAGCTAAGTTCCCCCTCCTGCTACCTTGATGTTCTACCCACAGCTTTCTTTAAGAAAGTTTTGCCTGTCATAGCATCTGATTTGACTCAGATAATAAACACGCCGCTTCTGTCAGGTGTATTCCCGCAGTCCCTAAAAACAGCAAATATCAAACCACTGCTGAAAAAGAAAAATTTAGACAAACTACTACTCCAGAACTACACTTTGCATTGTCTTTGTACTGAATTGTGCTATACAAATAAATTTGCCTTACCTGCCGTGCCATAAGTCCATTTTCCAAGAAACATGTTCTCAGTCTCAAGACCTTTAAAATAGTGTCAAGTGGATCTCTGTGACATGCAGTCCCTGTGCGACCTGAATGATGAGTATAATTAATTATTAACAGTCATTGATGTGTTTTAAATAAAGGCTTAAGTTACAGTTTTTAAAAGGAGACTAAGACTAAGCGGTGAGGGCTTTTGAATCGAGTTTTGAGGGGAGCCAAATCCCCCGAAAACTTCAAACCCATACAGGAAAAGAATTTGTTAATAAGAATTTCAAGGCCTTAATGAAAATTAAGGCCACATTTTTTATGTGACAGCGGGGGACCTTAAGGCCTTTGTCATAAAACGGTTAAACCGCACTCTGAAGATGAGAACAGGAAGATATTTCTCAGCAAGCGCCCCACACACCTTAGAAATTCTAACAAGATTTCCTTTTATACATTTTCTCTTTGTTTTATGAGATGTCTTTATCTTTGTACGAGTTTTTCAGCACACATAATTAATTTTCAGAGCAGACCTCTACTGGGGCAATTTTTATGCTAGTAGGATTTCTATGATTGTTGCTTTTTACCAGATCTTGGAGCACATCGATGAAGACTTGTTATTGTAACAATATCAACTCAAACCCCTGGTTGGATTTAATGGCCAGTGGTTTTGTTTCCTCACAGACAAATAGACTTTTAGGACCATGAATCTTGAAGAGCTCACTAAAACCACAATTGTTAAACAACCT